GCAGGTTCTGACCAGTTCTGGAGAACCAGTAGTGGAAATTTTGAGTAGTTGGGAGAATCCCACCTCTGACTGGCCCCGCCCCTGTCTATTCTCTGCCTCCGGCGTCTTAGCTGATCGGCTGGGTCTTCTTTTGCTACGCTGCACAGGAGAACGGAGCTGGAAAGCAGGTTAGTGGGGTGGGGAGGGAATGGAGATTTTGCAGTAACCTTCCCCTGCCATGCCCACCAAGCCACGCCCACAGAGCTGTTAGTAAAAAATTTGAATCCCATCACTGGGCCAAATACATGGAATGTGTCCACAACCGAACTGAACGTCTGCTTCTGATCCAAATAATGGAGACGCCTATGCTTCTGTTACTTTTCAAGCAATCCTGGGATATCCAGACAGTAGAAGAGACCTGAATATCTGAACCACGTGGTCCTGCAGAATGAATTGATAATGGTGCTTCTGAAAATATCTGTCCTTCTAGTCTATTTTCCGACCTCCTACGATTGTTCTGCTTGCTCTCTTATGAAGTTACCCTTCCAGATAAACAACTAATTAACAACTAACATTCCAAGGCTTAGACTGAAATAGCACCTAAGTGGACGGGATTTGTTTTCAAAGGGGTTTAAAATTCCCCCAACCTCGCTTGGTTCCGATGTGTTAAAAAACCACCTTTCTGCCCTCTCCCATTTTTCGCTTACCATCTGTCCAGGTGCTCCCTGGTCTCCCTTTAGTCCAGGAAGTCCGGGCTGACCTGTCTGGCCGGGGTTTCCTTTTTCTCCTTTCACTCCCCCAATCCCGGGTGGTCCACGGGGTCCTTCAGGCCCAGGAAGACCTTCAAGTGGCAATACAGAATTGGTGTGTTAGTACAGCGTCGCTCTCTTTAGAATCAGCACTCTCCTCTGTGCGGTCTTGGGCCGAAAGATCACGTCCTTTATGTCTGTGGGACATTTTATGTTCAAGGTGAAGCCCAGCCAAGGAAGGACCTGCCCAGCTGTTGGGAGTGGTGGGCAATTGTGGTTATGCTACATCCATTTATAATGCTTTGGTGCCTTAGTTTTTGAGCATCGATTGTCCAAGGCCCATTTGACCTTTTCTTATTGAATTCAATTGGCTAAATTTCTTAGCCTTTGGGCTGAGATCAAGTATTCTTTTATTAGTTTTATTCTACATGGGGAATGGCCAGGAGGAGGGAACACTGGTGGGTTTTTGGGGGGACATTATGGAAAGGGATTGTGGTACTAACAAAATTAGAGGCCCCATACCATGATGGTAACATTTCCTCTTGAGATGTATTTATAGAATCCTTGGATTGCAAAGGAAATTTGGATCTTCTAAGCAGAGTTGTATATATTCCTACAGAATTTGTAGGAAACTATGGTTGGCAACTAGAGGGAGTTCAGAACTGCCATAAAAAGGATTTAGGGTGAGGGTTCTGGTCAACAAACCCAACAATTGGCCATCTAGGAAACCTCTTTCTAAAACCACCAGACAAAAATGGGGACTAACCAGCCCATAATTATTAGTGAAATAATATTGATGAAGATAAAGAAAATGGGCATGGGGGGAGGAGAAAAGGAACAGTTCCTCTTTGACGCAATCTTTCCATATTAGTTTAGTTCTTCCTCCTTTTGCTGAAGCCAATTCATTCATTCATTCATTCATTCATTCATTCATTCATTCATTCATTCATTCATTCCAGGCATTTCAACAAATGGAAGGTGACCATTAATAGTTTAAATAGAACAGGTCTTTGGCATCTTCAATAAAAAAAAATGAGATAAAAGTAGATAGTGCTTTTTACGTTTTAAACACATTCTACTGCAGAATGGCGGAATGTAGATACTACAAGAACACAAATCAGAATTTGGCGATGTGATATCCTCCTGATGCATTGGGGGTGAATTCCTATAATATTCAACTGAGATGGCCAGGAATTGGACAATGAATTAACTGGGTGCCTGTCCTGAAGATGAATATGATTTTCTTAAATTAACTAATTAGTTTAAGTGTTGTTTTTTTTAAAAAAGTTTGATTGAAGGGAATGTTGATCTCATGAAAAGTTTTCAACCATAGAAGTAGAAGGAAGAGATCGCATGTAATCAAGAGGTAATAATCCACCAAATTCAGCTTGACTTTTAAAGACTGAAAAATTAATACCAACTGGAAAATTGTTGAGGTAACAACAACAAAAGGTCTGGTAATTATTATATCATGTGAACAGAAATATTAAGAACATTAAGAACAGTATAAGAAAAGTATAATCACAGTTCTTAAAACACCACAAGATTCTGTTTAACAACCCCCCCTCCTCAAGTTGCAATTAAATGCAAAAGTCCCATCAGAATTAGGAAAAACAAATTCACTGTTTAGGTTCCACATTGAACAAGGCATGAATTCAGAACCTAAGCTTAACAATGGTTAACAGAAACAAGCCAGCTTTGTAAAGTATGGTTGTTGTAAAGTACCCAATGTCCCCATTCTCAAAGTTTGCATAATGTGCACAAGGCTAAAATGGAGGTGGGCTGAATTATGAATCAATGCATCATTGTAGGACAAGGAGTAACAGAACTTAGGGTTGGAGTTAAAAGAGGGATCAGTCTAGAAATCCTACGTAGTCACAAGTGAACTAAGTCCAATCCTCTTGAATTCTGTTGACCCATATCTAACTCCAAGCAGGTCCTGTTAGTTGAGAACATTCCTGTGCATAGGCTATGTAACAATAAATCAGTTTATTTGGACTTTCAGGTATGAACCTCATCTTTCATACCTGATAGCTGTGTTCCCATAAGAGATGTTTTGAAGTTGATTTGTTCAATAAAGCATAGTTCAAGCTAACCATGGACTGGTTTAAATTTGGATATGAGCAAAAATATGATACGGAAAGCTTCTGATATTTTTTTATGGCCACACAGGTCTATGTTAATATGGGGTAATGTTAAATCATGATTAACTGTTATATCTTATGCAACCAGGATCTAAGTTAACAGCAAAATAACATTGTCAAGCAACCAATACAGTCAAACAAACTGTAGCCAAGTTAAGAATCTAACCTGGAGGACCTGGAAGAGTCAGAGTTCACCAAAGGCCAATGTTCGTTGTTAGGGGGAAGATATGAGATATAACAGTGCAAAACAAGACGACTAGTTAGAATTAGCATTCATGAGCTGATAGTACACAGAGAAAACCCATCTCACCAGCATATTTTGTATTTACAGGTTGCAAACGTGCATGCACAGACAACCCCCTCTCCCCCCACATCAAAACATACCATGTGTTTCTAGACAAAATAATTTAGATATACAACTTATTCTGGTGATAAGGCTGCTACAACTTGTCAAAGTCAACCTTGGTTGACATTCTACTGAGCAAGGCTCAATATCTGTTAGTTTCAGGTAAACAACAAAGGTATCTATTTTTGTGACCATTTCACTGACTTGGCTGCAGAAGGATAATCTGGTTGAAACAACTAGCGGTACAGGTAAACCTTGACTTACAACAGTTTTTCACATGACTGTTGCAGCATCCTCGTGGTCACATGATCAAACTTTGGATGCTTGGCAAGTGGCTCATATTTATTACCATTGCAGTGTCCCAGGGTCATGTGATCCCCTTTCATGACCATCTGATTAGCCAAGCCAATGAGGAAGCCAGTTCACTTAACCACCGTGCTAGTTAATTTAGCAACTGCAATGAACTGTGGCAAGAAAGTTAAAAAAAACGGGGCAAAATTCATTTAACAAATGTCTCAGCAACAGAAATTCTGGGGTCAATTGTGGTCAAAAGTTGAGGACTAGCTGAACTTGTTCCAGTGATCTTGAAAATGGTTATCTAAGTCAGGGATCTCCAACCTTGGCCACTTCAAGCCTGGAGGACTTCAACTCCCAGAATTCCCTAGGTAGCTGGCTGGGGAACTCTGAGAGTTGAAGTCTGCCAGGCTTAAAGTGCCAGGGTTGGAGACCCCTGATCTAAGCTCTCCAATACTGTATGATTTATTCGGGTATAAGAAAGGATCTTAACAGATCCACTATTTTTGAGGTTCTTGGGAAGAAAAGGTTCATTTTATGAAGCTTAACTGTCTTTGCAGATTTGAACTAAAACCAATTTCTTTTGCATTGCCATTAAGACAAGAGGCCAGGAATTTCTGTTGTAATCATCCTGAGTGGGATTAACCAAATTTTATTTATGCTAAGCATGATATGGCCGAAAATGCCTAGGAACTATCATTTGGCTTATATAGGCTAGATTGCAAAATTTTAAAAAAATATCTTAGAAACTGCTTTATTGACAACAAATCATCATAGGATTCCAGATCAATTCAAAGATAATGTTCCTTTTGCTCATGTTAATTCATCCTGCTAGTGACACTAATAGTGATGCTATTATCAATACTATTATTAAAACACTGGAATATAATGCAAAGATATATTTACTATGTATTTCTTTTAATACTTAAAACGTAGCTATCAACTGTTTCTGGTGAAACCAATTCTATAATAGGTTTATGATATCCATCCTGATCTATACTCTTTTCCAAAATAGTGGATAAAGGATAAAATGACTTGAGTTGATACTCACAGTTTACAGCTTGTCAGTGAAATATTCACAAAAATATAAAGAATCCATGCAATTTATCAACAATAAATTATACATATGCATACTTTTCCATCTCACTTATTTCTCTGCATTCTTGGTTGATCATTCTATATTAATGCTAAACGAAAGATTAGACTAACCAAAACTTTCCATTGCAAAACAGAATCCAAGTTTTGCTAAGCCTTTTCAAAGTACCCAAACGGAAAGTAACCAATTTTTGTTGCTTCACCATGTTTCACCATTTTCTATTTCTTTTTTCCATTTAATTAAACTGCACCTTAAATGAGCCACAGTTGATTGCTCTATTTAAGCAACATTTAGATTCAGAATTTTTCTATGGCTTGTGCTCATGAAGATTTGTTTCTGAAAAGCTATCTTAGCAAAACTTTTAATATTTCTTTTTATTCCATTTCATACAAATGGGTATGCCAAGTCAACTTTGTCCTACAGAAATATACACGCACCATATGATTGTCTCATCGACATTATCTTACTACAAGAAAAAAATCTAGTTGCAATTAGAAAACATACATTGAAGCTAAAACCTTCTTAGAGCTAAACCTTCTGCTTGTTTATCCAGAATTGAGTCTGAATTCAATAGGGATTTACTCCTAGGTGTCAGCTTTGAAATTCAGCTACCACATTTTTTTTAGAGAGTTAGAGGAGTTGAAAAGTTCAAGGTTATTCTGTGTGTCATATTAAGAATTTCCAGTTGCAGTTAATTGGTTCTCGTGATTTATGAAGTATAGAAGTGGGAGGAGAGAAAGTGGGTTCTGTGTAACCCGCCCAAAAAACTTTCACTTGGGAAATTGCTCTTGAACATGCCAGATCTGTTCCTAATAAATCAATTGGAGAGATAACGTCTTGGAGTGATTGATATCATGGATACTTTCTGGATGCTTGACACTAGGTAAACTTGACAAAAGGACAAGATCCATTTTTATTACAGCCTCATCCAAACTGGACTGTCAGTATAAACAAACAAGACAAGAATTACAGCGCAAAGGCATAGAGGATGCAATTCTAAATGCTAATAAATCATGTTTATAGCTTATCTCTATGGAGATTCACAGTCATCCAGGTCTTGGTTGTCCCAAAGGTGTTTTTTCAAGAGCCAATTGAACTTTCTGGTCTTTCTTGGAAGAAGTTTAGCTTCTTATCCAAGAAGCTTCTTGGATGAAAAGCGAAACTTCTTCAAAGAAAAATCACAACGTCCAGTTGCCTCTTGAAAATGCACCGTTGGGCCAACCAACTAACATCTTTCCTTGAAGATGTTTCGCTTCTCATCCAAGAAGCTGAAGAAGCTTCTTGGATGAGAAGTGAAATGTCTTCAAAGAAAGTCCAGAAAGTCCAGTTGGCTCTTGAAAAAGCACCTTTGGATTTATAGCTTGTTATGGCCAATGTGATCATGCCCACAGCATCACATTGACAAAAACAAAATGTTTATAAAAGTAAACCTGCTTCATTTTCAGTCAGGCCACAATCCTTACAATTTGCAGAGTAAATAAACCCCATTAAAAATAAATAAATAAAGTGTAGGCATCAAAAGACTTTTGAACAAATTTAGACCATAATCTTTTTCTTTCAGTTTTAATGATATTTCTCAATCAAACTTCTGCCCTTTCCTCATTATTCATATAGGTTAGATTGATGACTTGGCATACTCATTTTGGAGAAGAAACCATCTTTATCCAAGACATACATTTAATTTCATGCAAAAGGTATTACTCTAGAGTTAATGAGCTAACCTGTGGCACCTGGAAGGAAGTGATCAAAAGTTCACCAAGGCCATCAGTACAAAGAAAAATATCAATATAGTTAGACACATAAACAAACTGATACGTTTTCACAGCAATCCATCTAAAATTCCATTTTTAAAAATTCCATGTGTACACCAAACTGTCATCATGATCAAAAAATGTTTAAAAATTTGCAGTGGAAGCCTTAGCCCCAAGAAAAAAATTATTTAGTCTGTTCATGGGATGGCATCTAGAATAACTGCAAGTTATTACAGTGGTCCTCAACTTACAAGCATTCATTTGATGACCGTTCAAAGTTACAAGGACATTTGAAAAAAGGAGATTTACAACCGGTTCTCGCACTTAAGGTTGTCACAGAACCCACAAAGTCACAGGAATAAGATTTGGGCACTTGGCAACCAGCATCTCTTTACAGTGGTCATGTGATCACCATCTGCCATCTTCCCAGTCAGCTTCCAACAAGAAAAGTCAATGGGGGAAACTGGATTTTCTTAATGACCACATGAACCAACAACTGCAGTGATTTCATAAATGTCATAAAATTGGGCACAACTTACTTAACAAGCAACAGAATGCCTGGTTCCAGTTGTGGTTGTAAGTCGAGAACTACTTGTATATCAAAAGCATCTCCATGTTAGGACTAGCTGCAAGAAGTCAACCAAAAGCTGCAAGAAGTCAGCCTCCTAGCAATTATTGACAATCACTATCAACAAAATAGATTGTTCTATGTATCTAATTGTCTTTCTTCATGGTTGCAACTGCTTTCTTGTCCAATCATTCTAGGACCAATTGGATTTCCTTTTACTCATAACGACAGTTTGGTCTTCACTCGCTGGCAGATGCACGGTAGCATGAGATGAACATCTACATTCTACATGCAGTGAAAACAAAGACGATTGAAATAATGCCACAGGGCCATTACTAGCACTTCCTCTTAGTCACAATCTAAAGTGACAGCATCTTCACCTAATTTAGTATTCTCCCAATCCTCCAACATGAAGGGAATGTATGTGTGTTGATGTTGTCTTCTTCAGAGTTGAATAAAATTCTTCTGCGGTCATGTGAAACTACCCAACAACAGAGCTCATCTTCAAACGCCTTGCATTTATTTCAAAGGCATCGATGAAGTCCTAGAGATGTGTTCTACTGCTTTCCTTGTTCCCAGATTGAATGTTTGTCTGAATGCTTTATCCCGGGTGTCTAAATGTTTAACATCTAACTTATCTAGTGTGAATGCTTTAATCTGTAATTGCACAGGTATGTTTATATCCAGTTAATGAGCTGTTATCATCTTCATCCTTGTTGTATAATTACGATATTCTTATATTCTACTTGTATCCCCTCTTCAGGTTTTTGTGGTGGAAATATATTTCTGGGATAAACAATCTTAAAGAACTGGTAAATATGAAAGTCAGAATGCACAGCCTTTCTCTTACGTAAAATATGAGCAAAATTTTATGTTATGGGGATGTTATGTTAATATTTAACCAAGGTCAGTTAGAAGCCAACAGGAACTTTAAAGGCTGAAGGCTAGGTTGGAGTAAAGCAACAGCACTTCCTTATCTTTGCTAAAAAACCTCCATGGGCATAAGACCACAACATCAAGACCACAACATCAAGCTTAACTTAAAGAACTGCAGATGATACACAGTGGTAGGACTCATCTCCAGGGGCGATGAGTCTGCCTACCGAGATGAGGTGGACAGGTTGCTTTCATGGTGTGGAGACAATAACTTGGTCCTCAACACCAATAAGACCAAGGAGCTTATAGTGGACTATAGAAGAAACAGATCAGACCTCCAGCCCTTGCTTATCAATGGAGACCGAGTGGAGCAAGTGCCAGTTTTAAGTTTCTGGGTGTTACCATAAAAGAGGACCTGACCTGGGGTGCTCACATTGCAGCCTTGGTCAAAAGGGCCCAGCAGAGATTAAACTATCTGAGACTTCTCAGAAAATAACAACTGAATGAAAAACTGCTGGTGACCTTCTACAGCTGCACCATAGAGTATCTTAACTTACTGCACCTGTGTATGGTTTGCAAATTGCACAGGGGCAGATAGGACAGCGCTCTAGAAGGTTAACATCATTGTCCAGAGGATCATGGGCTGCCCTCTCCCCTCTTTGGAAGAGCTTTATAGCTTCCGCTGCCTTAAGAAAGTTCAAAATATTCTCAAAGATCCATCTCATCCTGGGCACTCTGTTTTTTTTTTTTTTTTAAACTATTACCATCTGGCAGACGGTACAGAATATTAAAAACAAAGACAAATAGGCTGAAAAACAGCTTCTATTCCAGGGCAGTAGCTCTGTTGAATTCTACTGTATAGTGCAGTGTTGGTGTGGTGCTGTGGGTTTTCGGTGTGGAGTGTGAAGGATGTGTTTGTTTATTTTCATGGTCATGATGTGCACTGAAGATGGTGTTTGATTTCGTTGCATGAGGTGCAATGACAATAAAGTAAACTAACTAACTAACTAAAGCAGTATGCCTCAACCTTTTGGGCCCCAGGGACCAGTTTCATGGAGAGGTTTTTCCACAGTCTGGAGGGGTTGTGACTTTGCATGCGGCCTGCATCCCACAGATGGGCTTTCACTTGTTTGAGGATGAAGGTTCATTCTCCAAGTATGCAGATTGGTTTCCAAACATTTTCATTACCAGGCCAGGTAACATCTTCAGTGGGGATGTCAGTTTAGGGGATGTCAGTGTCAGTGTTCCTCTTTTTATAAGGGTTTAATCTGGTCAGTAGGTCTTGTGATGGGTCAGGTGTGGGTGTGTCAAAGGAGGTCTTGTGATGAGTCAAGTGTGGGTCATTGGTGGGAATCTTGTGATGTTTTTTGTTTGCACAGCCTGGTTTCTGGCATGCCATGGACTGGGGTTTGGGAACCCCTGACTTAAAGGATACCTTATTTTAAAGGGTTATAATTAAAATTTTAATTTGTTATGAGTGACATCAACTGGCAGAATGGTGGAATATAAACCCCACAAATAACTTATTAAAACAAATGATTTAATGTATTATGTACTAGGAAGAGACAAGATTTCCTAACGGGCCCAATTCGTTATGTTATTTAGAATTCACTCTATCATTTTAGTTTTTGAGATGTCACAACATTTTGTCCAGGTTGAGCTACAGTAAAAATGCATCTTCTATGGTCATAAAGTGTCATCACTAATTAAGTATTACCAACTATCAGAAAGTATACTAAAAGTGTCAATTACAGCAGGGTCTCCCAACTTGGCAACTTTAAGACTTGTGGACTTCAACTCCCAGAATTCCTCAGGGCAGCCATGCTGGCTGAGGAATTCTGGGAATTGAGATCCAAAAGTCTTAAAGTTGCCAAGTTTGGAGTTCCCTGAATTAAAGGCCAGTCTAAATAACCCTGAGACATCTACAATGGCTATTCTAATAACTCAGTGGTCATATTGCTAATGAATTCTAAAATAGGACTGTTGGACATATAAAAATAGCATACAAGTTATAGAACTTTCTCTAAACTTGCTAAACACCATTTCACCTGTCAGGCAGATTTTATCAGATACCAGTAACGGCTCGGTGGCATTTATTTAACATTATCACTTATACATAGGAACCACAAACAAATAAGATGGATGGTGACAGAATGAAGATGAGATGGGATGCACTGCACCTGCTGGAATGGAGGACACGGTGGGATAAGAACGAGCATTAATGATGAGCATAACCCAAACAAGGAGGAATAAATGATGAAAACTGAACATGCTGTGCTGCTAACATGAATTTGATTTCCAGTGGTTCTACGAGCAGGGTGAATTATCATTCGGTGCACAAGATGAATTTCCTGATCAGGTGGCATCATGGTACAGGCAGCCTGGGCAGATGCTATTAAGGTTGATTGGGTGCTTGGCTTGATGAGTGCTGTGATCACATGCAGATCCCATTTAAAATTGGGAAAATTTTGCTGGCAGATTATCAGCAGATTCTATCTTTGTCTCTTGACATGGAAAATGCTTGTCTTTTTCAGGATAATTTAATGATGTCTCAAAGGCACTGAATATTAAAAGTCTGGTCAGATCATCAAGAATGTCAGCCTGGAAAGGGCTGATCAAAACGATAGTCCGATAAGCCAATAACCTGCCAGCAAAATATTCAGTGTATAGACCTTCTTTTTCTTACCTGGCCGTCCCGGTATGCCTGATGGCCCAGGGCTACCCTTAGGTCCTTCTGATGGTGGTCCAGGAAGTCCTGGAGGACCTTCTAAGCCCGGAGGGCCAGGAAATCCCTTGGTACCCATTTCTCCTTTTAAACCAGGGGGTCCTGGAGGCCCTGGGGGTCCAGAGAAGCCAGAATCTCCCTTTTGACCTAAAACAAAGGAGGAGAGAGGCATGTAAAAGGGTCAGTATTCCACAAAGGTCCTTAAATGGCTGTTGAAAAGAAAGAGAGGTGCTAGAGACCACCAGAGTATTTGATGATGTAAGCTGAGAAACTGGTACCC